CGAGTGGACTAAAGGGAAATAGAGATTGTAGTATTAGGGTTGTTAAGATATAAGGTTTGAACTTGAGATTGATTTGGGCTTGATTTGAGCTTGATTTGATATTACTTGAGTGATTTTTTATTTTATTTTTTTATAGAGATAAATAGATAAGTGATTATAGAGATTTATAAAATGCGTTAGGTTATAGTATAGTTAGTATAGTTAGTATAGTTAGTATAGTTAGTATAGTTAGTATAGTTAGTATAGTTAGTATAGTTAGTATACTATAGATAAAAATAGATATAAATAGATTTTTAGAATTTAAGAGAGCTTTTACTTTTCAGAGGTTTTCTCTTTAAAAACAAACAAGTATTATAAAGATTTACTGTATCAACAAGGGTATTTACTTCAAAGGAATGACTTCAATACAATGGCTACTGTATCAAAGGTATTAGGCGAATGCGAAAGAGACTAGCTCTTTCAGTAGTGCTTATATAAGGCCTACTATTTTCCCACTTAGCTAGCTCTTTAGATAGAATACAATTAGACATTTAGGACCTACTAATAGTGGGTGCTACGTCTTCCGTATCTTTCTCGAACCAACATTAAGGATATAATGCGAAAATGAAATAAAATGAAATAAGATATATTTCAAGAGTCGAAAGTCGAAAATCGAAAATGAAGATACTATTTCTTTAGATCTTGAATAGATTAATAATAATATAACTATTAATATTAATACTAACATTCTCTCAAGAGAATCGCTAATAATAATTCTCCTGTCACGGGGTGACACTAAGCCCTTTCTGTCCTGTCCTGTCCTGCTATATATGCGAGAGTAAGGTAGAACTTCCAGTTCTACCTCCTAGTCTTTTGGGCGTTTAGCTCAGCGGTAAAGCTTCTGAATACTCCCAGAGGTGATCCCGTGACAATTAATAGATACTTTCTATATACATAGTATACGCATGAAACAATTACCTACTAATACAGACAGATAGTCTAATACCAATTATAAAGTAAGTAAATAAATAATCCCAACCAATCGGAAAGTTATAATACGAAGAAGAATTCCAAAATATCAAATACAATTCTTTACGACGAAGGAAAGGATAATGTGTGCTATAGATAGCTCTGAGCATTTAAGAATAATGATGATAACGATATGATTAGAATTTGGATTATAATCTTCAAGGGGAAAAAAAGATTGGAATATAGAATAGAATCAATGGAAACCGATGAATAGTCTGAATAGGTAATCTTACGAAATATGGACTAGAGATTGTATACAAATGTCCCGAAATAATCTCGAAAAGAGGAGCCTACTCTTCATAAAAGGGTTTACAAGTTGCAATGAATCATTAACATATGCGAAGTTCATTTGTGTCTAACAATGAGATGAATGTGGATTAAAAATTAGGAGTAGTAATTTACGCGAGAGCGAATAGTCTTTTAAGCGAAGTTCCAACTAGGTCGGAGAAAATGATATAATAATATACGTTAAACAATCTAAAACAACAGAAGTGAAGCAACATTTTGGTGTCTCGAAGGGATATGTAATTTGATTCAACTTTTCAAATGTGTTCCATTTGGAAAAGTGCTCCATCATCAACCTGTGCCTTTCCATTCGATTCAACACTTGGCTCTTTCCCCTCAACTTGCTGTGCCCACCTCTCTGGCATGATTGCCTTGAAATCAAATGTGCCCTGTGCACTTCTAACCACTTCCCCCTTCTCCGTAATGACCGCATCAATATACATACTTGGCGTAACATCAAAACTTGGATTCCAAACATCGATTCCTTGGTGGGCAATGGCCACCCTGGCCGTCGAATTGACATCCACATGTCCATCTTTCCCTACTATGGCTCCACTTATTTGAGTAAGCTCTGTTGGAGCGCGATCTTCAATTTTTATGTCTGCTCCTGAAGCTGTCTCGAGATCTATACTTGTCGTGGGTGCGGCAACTATAAATTTGATATTATGAGCTTTTGCAAGGACTGCGAGAGAATAGGTTCCGATTTTATTGGCTGTGTCACCGTTACGGGCCACACGGTCTGCGCCTACAATGACAGCAGATATATTTTTGATGTCTTTCATCCGGGCGAATAGAGCACCGGCCATAGAATCTGTGATGAGTGTTGAGGGAATCTTTTCGTACACAAGCTCGAAGGCAGTAAGTCTGGAACCTTGGTTATAAGGACGAGTTTCAGTACAATAAGCGTGGTCCAAATAGTTCATTTTGTGCAGACTGCGGATTATACCCAAGGCGGTGCCGTGACCTGAAGTTGCTAGAGAGCTAAAGAGATTGTAAGTAATTTTGCCCTATTCGACAAGCAGAAAGATACAAGTAGTAGACATACCCAGTATTGCAGTGTGTGAGAACACTCAACTTTCTGTAAGTCTTGTCCATTGCTCCTTGTGTGCATGGCGGACTTGTTGTAAAGAATTTGGATGGATCGTCATTATTTTCTTCTCCAATTGGCATCTGTTGTCGTCTTAGATATTCCGCTCCATATCTGCCAATTGCTAAGTTCGTAGTAAGATCATCTTCCAAGATCTTCTCTGCTGCAACAATATATCCGTTTCGAACATCCGCACAGGCAACATTGTCATCAGTTGCATCTGTAGTTTGTGCCGCATTTTGAGAGACCCGTTTGAGAAGTTTGATAGCATTTGAGAGGTCGACGGCAGTTGGTCTACTACCCAAGAGATAATCGAGACGTTTGTTGATGTATTGGACAGTTTCTTGTTTTGTCTTAGAATCTGAGATCATCCATGTTAGCCAGCTATCACATGCAATTAAATCAGTCTGTATGAAGTACCAACCATCTTTCTTATGATGAAGCTCTACGGCCAGCGCAAGAGCTGCCACAATCGCGATTGCTGGGGCTCCTGATAAAACACTTAGCCATCAAAGCTCATTATGTTTACCAACAACAGAGCGGTACATACCTCTCACGCGCATCGACTTGATAGAATCAAATGCCTCTTCACAGGTAGAGACATTATCATAAACAAACTCATGCGGAAGTCTCAACTGATCTAAAACTTCTAGTTTTCCTCTGCCATATTTAATGGCCTCTAAACCAGCCATCTTTGAGCTGTCTGGTGTTTGTTAGATTTCGGCGAGGATGAGAGACTTTAATGTGTACTGGGAATGGAATTGGAATCGGAATCGGGCAGAGCGAAGTGAAAATAAGATAAACGAATGCTTTATTTATATGCAGCTTAACAGTCTCTATATATGGAAAAAGAAACGAACTCTCGTACACAGTCCCGAGGCAATCTCATGTAATCGGATTCTTGAATTGTTAAGTGTACACTGAAAGGCAAGGGCGAGAGGGTGAATGAATATAAACGTGGGTAAATGGTTAAAGCGCCAACAAGGTTTTGTTTTGATAATAAAATTTTACGGAAAGACCCCGCCCCCGCCATGCCAAAATAAGGCGGTGAAAGATCAGCAAATTTCCACTTATTAAAGAAACGCTTGCATTTTCTCTTTCCAATTTTATAGTCACGTTACCACTGTCCCCTCGACATGATTATTTTTCATATCGTTTGTACAGTTATAAAATGAGTTTTCTCCTATTCTAGGACTTGCTGATTATCTAAATTCATTCAATTGGTTATACTTATGGTATTAAGGTAAAAATTATCATACTGCAAGAAAGTTGGATGATTAGGGGAGGGGAGATATATATCACAACATGGCGCCAAGTAGCCTCGTGTCGATATGAAAAGAAAACTACATACCTTTCTCGTCTGTATATCGAGGTTCTTATCCTCTGACACAATTTCTTAGTCTCAGGTTGGCGAAGTCGTTGGGAAATACATCAAGTGTCTGTTATAACCAAGCCTACTCTCGAGCAAGCGGTCAAAAAAAGGCCTACCGACATTGCGGCGTGCCAACCCTATGACCCATTCAGACCATCTGGGTTTGCGGATAGATCAGAAGTCGTGCTGATTCTTCTAGATTATGGGAGGAATTTTCTTGCATGGTAGTCCTGCTTGTGCTCAGATTTCATGGGCGATTTCTTGCCTCTCATGATGAGAGATTATTTGCAGAGCAGATATTCTGGCCATGAGGGTTTAAAAATACGAGTCCCACGATGGATTACAGAACAAGTGCATTTTGACCAGCTTAGACGTTCAATCAAGTCTTATATCTATTGTTTCGCATGATGACATGAGCTCCGGTGCCAATAGTAACCTATTCAGCGTCTATGGAGAACTGCGAGATGTACATTATACACACCCTTAGCTAAACTAAAGTCGTATTCGACACCTTTTATATGTCAATCTATGGTGAGTGCCTTTCGTGTCTTTCTGACTGCTCTCTTTGTATGTGCCTTGATCCGCATTGATAATGGGGAAAAGAAATCACCGCAGATATAAACGCCATTTAATATCGATTTCGTCATGGTACGGAGCTCGCGAAATTTACAGCAGCGTACTGGAGCAACTTGCAGATGAATCGCCCTTTTTTCTATCATAAACCTTTTTAATGGGATTAATCAGAATGCGCGATTAAGACTACCCTTCTTCAACCTTTCAGACGCGTAGCATAGTAACAACATTTTGGAGTATTCTATTACACCAGAAGAGAGATTTGACCATACACCCACACAAGTTTATCATTCAATTCTTATCCACACAACGGATTGCAATGATTCTGCGTTTGAGAAGCCCGGATGTTTATCAGTGGATAAATTGATCTATCGCATACACCTTCCGAATTGGTATAGTATGCAATAGTGGGGTCGCAGATATATATGCATTCGTACAGCTGAAGCTTCCCACACCTACTTGATGAATATCGAAACGTTCATGGCCTAGAAAACGCTCAAAAAATATACCGCCATCGTACCAATTCTGACTCATCTCCAAAATTTCTTCAGAATAATTATTACAACTACGAATCTCGCAGCAAACAGCACAAAGGCTTTGGCATTCAAGACTGCTTGATATCTTATCCTTCCAAGACTTTTCAATTTCAATTCTACAAATCAGTCTTACAGAATCATGTCATTCATCGTCCCTCAGCTTGGTAGCTCACACATACCACTTACAGTAAGACAAGAAGCTCTTGACCGAGTATTTGCCGATCCTGGAATTCCAGATGCAGTTCATTCAACAAAATCATTTTGGATGAAAGAACCGCATCCCGCTGTTGCAAGTGTACAATCAGAGCACCTACCAAAATTTGCCGATCATGTCATTATTGGTTCTGGAATTACCGGAGCCTCCGTCGCACAAGCTTTGTTGGAACATCTCGAAACGGCCAGTCCATCAGAAGTTCACTCTTCGTCGCATCCAAAAGTGATCATGCTAGATGCTCGAGATAGCTGCAGTGGTGCCACGGGCAGGAATGGTGGGCATATTTTGGAAACTGGTGAGGAGTATGCCATGCTTAAAGAACGTTTGGGTAAAGAGGAAGCCATCAAAATCCACAAAATGCGCATGTCCCATCTTGAAGCGCTGATTAAGAGTGCGGAAACTTTGGGGTTGACTGAAGAGACACAAGTTCGCAAAGTGCGTTTCTTGAGTGTGTATTTTCACCAAGAAGCTTGGGAAGATATCCGGAAAGATATAGAGCTTTTCATGGCCGAGATGCCGGATGATTCTAAGGGATGGGGTTTTATCGAAACCGATGAACTAGCAAAGGTATATTACTGTAAACTTTCTACTTCACGGCCTTGCAACGCTCGATTTATGTGAATTATTTTGCTAACTTCTATAAAGGAGTTTGGAATTCCAAATGCTGCTGGTGCCGTAACCGGCATTGCGGGCGCCATGTGGCCCTACAAATTCGTCACTGGACTTCTCGCCCATCTACGAAAACAATTCCCATCAGACTTCCTCCTCGAGACAAACACCGGCGTATCCGAGATCCGCGGAGGCAGTGACTACTACGAAGTCATGACACCACGAGGAACAATCAAAGCCAAACACGTGATCCACTGCACCAATGCCCACATTGGCCATCTGGTCCCGGGCATCAAGGGCTGCATCTTCCCCATCGTCGGACAGATGTCCGCCCAACCCCCGGGCGACAAATTCAAACCCCAAAGCGACCACTCCTGGATCTTCAACTACGATCGCGGCTTCGACTATCTCACCCAACTCCCCGTCACCGCCGCTTCGAACGGTGAAATGATGATGGGTGGCGGATACGCCCAGACTCAGGACGGCGGAATCCACGAAATGGGTGTGAGCACCGATGCAGAATTAAACATGTACGCGAACATCCATCTCCGCGGCGTCCTCGGCGCCGTCTTCGCGCCCGAAAATTGGGGCGCCGTAAACGACCCCGCCGTATCGGCAATGTGGACGGGGAATATGGGATTCAGCAGCGATGGGCTCCCATGGGTAGGCAAACTACCCGCATCTCTCACCGAGCGGAGCCTAACCACCGCGGGCGGAGCCGAGTGGGCGGCCGCGGCCTTTTCCGGCGAGGGAATGGTTCACGCGTGGTTGTCTGGGAAGGCGCTCGCGCACATGATTTGTTCGTGGAAGGCGAGTGAGAGTGCGGATGCTGCTGTTCCAGAGTGGTTTCCGGAAGCGATGGTTATTACGAAGAAGCGATTGGCGAGGTCGAGGTTAGCTCGAGATGCGCAAGAGGAGGCGGAACGAGTTTTATGATTTGTGATTTGTGATGTGTGAGATGTGATATATAATATAGGAGCTGTGTCTCTGCATGATCGTTTGATAATATGTATAGATCGTCTTAATTAAGGCTTTTTGTCAATATCAAATCCCTAGCATTCTCCTCCCGAAACATGAACCAAAGCTCCATGATTGAAAGTAGAGCTGGCCCGACAGCTTGCTCCATTTACTCCCAGCTTATACCAGAGCTTTCCTCGCCCCGGTAGCAGGGAAACAATGTGATTTCTGCAGGAAAGTCAGATAACCTCAGGCGAGGCCGTTCCTTTTCCACACTATAACCATGGAAATATAATTACAAATCCTTGCTAGGCCGCCTAGATTCAATACTAAGCAACTGCCATACGAAAGACGAACGATGTTTCTTTCAGACAATTTACGAGAAGAAGGCAGGAGGAGTGTGTTCTAGCATGAAGAGTCCACTTCGTCGCTTGGTTACAATCCTATATGCGCTAATCTGTTTTCTAGCAAATGTGTTAATGGTTCGCTCCGAGTAAGGAACAAAGATTTCATACGTATATTCCATCTTGAACAGTGGCTCACTTGAACAAAATGTTGCACCAGGGACCCAAAAAGATATTCTCTAGGGGGAACAAGCCTCAGAATAGGTTTCATTGGTCACAAAAATTTGTTTGCTGCGAAGAATAACTCTGATCAACTTGAATTTATAGAATTATCAAAAAAGTTTGCAATTGCCAATCTGTACCATACCTCTTTATTCATATCAGCGCCGATCTCAAAAGTCAATACCCACTGCTCCTATTCTCCTATTGTCGCAACCCAATCCATGGAATATGCGTCTATCCCAATGCTTCAAAGCTATTGAAACAAGCCTTCAAATTTATGTTTAAAAACACCGTATACCGAGTCACTGGACTAGTTATGCATCAATACCTGAGCTTTTCCCTTTATCCTCAGAATGGTTGTCAGTTGGGTCTGCTGGTTTTGCTCCCCACGCCCATGGCATCCAATTCCCACTGGATGTCGTCCTCTCCATCATTTTTCTTGCTTTACCGACTTCTTCCGTCCCACTATCTGCATCGATTTTTTCAAAATCAGGCTCACTCTTTCTTGAGGTCATTCCGCTCATGGAGCTCTTTGGTCGATCGAGATTATCATCTTCGCTGCTAGTGCCATCAAATGACATACTGGAAATATTTCTCGGGACACGTTTTTCATTTTGTAGTGTTTGCGCCTCCTTGTCCAAAGCTGAAAGAAGGATTGAAAGGCGCTCGCGCTGTGCTTGGATGAAAGTCATACGTTCACTCCCAGATACATGAGGAGGTATCAACATCCCACTGTTCGAAAGATCTCGAGTATCCGATCCACCGGTAGCAGCGTTGAAGGAAGTAGCAGCGGAAACTGCTGAAGCAAGGAGGGAGTAAAAGTCTGTCGCACTGCTAGCAGCACCTCCGACCGGATTTAATGGGAATGAATGTCTAGCAGATGGTAGATTGAAGCGTGCCATGAGACTTTGTGTATATGAATAGGTGGAAGGCGTTGATGGTGGTGTGGGTTCTTTAGGCGGAAGACCAAAGACCTGCTGCCTAATCAATTCTATAGCTTGTTTGAGATATGTCATACCAGCGGCTTTTGCACGTTCATGAGCAGAAGCTATGAAATCATCGATGGCGAGCTCATTATTGTGAAGCCATGGGTGAACGTGTGTTTGGTAGAGGACTCTTGCGCCTTGGGTTTGAGGGAGGATAAGGTAGAGAAGGAAACCGAGTCGAAACCACGAGTAGAAAGGTATCCTAATTGAAATTTATTGTTAGAGGGATTTTTGTGAGTGCGATTTCGAGAAAGAGATGGCTGCGAACCAAACTAGTATAAATCCAACCCAAGATTCAGCGAACAAAGCGATCGCAAGTACCACCCAATACATAAGCCATGGTGTTAATAATGCCGGATCCGAGGTCTTGAGAGCTTTGTAGGATGCGAACACTGGAAAAAGAAATGTAGGAACAGAACTAAAGTCTTCATTAGTATATGGTTAATATATAAAATTGTTACTTTTACTTGGGTATTCTGGGCAGTTTGTGAATCTATAAAGGCGGGGTATTACTTACGATAAGAGCCTTGCGAATGTATCGAACATGATCGGTTTGGGGGCTCAATCTGATTGTCTGGTAAAGTCAGAAGCGATAGCTAGGTATACGAGGTACTACACGATTTGTTGATTTTGATAATAAAAAAGGGCAAGTAATGGGGTACAGACGATGAGAGTGTAGGTTGTTGCAGTGGAAGGAAGGAATGGGGATGGAGATGGAGATGGAGATGTATTGATGATGGTGGTGGTGGTGATGACGGCGGTGGTGAGTGACGTTGATCATGTAATAAGGTTACGAAGTCAAGTACCTCCCTAGTAGCCTACTAGGCTCGGTATATCCAAGCTGAGCTAGGGAGTCTCTTTAGCCCACCTAGCTTCAAGGATTTCTTTGACCTTTTGGAGCGTTTAGACTTGTTTTCCTTATCGATACGGGAGTACCAGCTGTCTATATTGGAGACTCTACGACATTTGCATACCAAGGTGAGGAATCCTGAACCATCATTTGCCCGCTGAATCATTGTTATCGTATTGGAAATTCAATTCAGCGTAGTTTTCATGTTACATGCAAGCTGTGAAGTCTAGCTGTGAAGTCTAATGAATTTAGTAAAGTCTTATATCTACCCGTGACAAATGACCATGATGGCAATCAAATAGGGCGACCGAGGTAGGTACGTATACACACACCACCCACAGCCTTATGGGTTCACTTCATTACGACGTCGTGCGGAGTATCAAGCAGTCGAGGCAGTGAATGGAATGATGGAATGATGGAATGGCTCAATGGCTTACACCTGGTGCTCTGACCCCAGGAATGACTAAACGATCACTTAGTCGGGTGTACGAGTACAGGACAGGGAAGATCATGGGGTAATGAACCCGCCGTTCAATGCGCCCAGAAAAGTATATGGGTGAATGAGTATAAACGAGTACAGACTCGAAATTCTTGGAGCTTTTATGGCCTGATCCATTCTCCCATAGGAATATGGGCTGAGTTTCCTCATTTCTTCCTCCCAACAAAAATCTGAGAGAGATTTCGTATAAGAGGTCGTACCTTCTGGTAGGTTACATTTCTTTCTTCCACTAATAAACTTTGACAGCTGCCACACTTGACATTCTTCAACTTTACTCAACCCATCCATCTACCTACCTTGTCTACAATCCATACCTACCTATAATACCCGCCAGTATGTGTATCGTCTTAGCAACTACCGCACATCCGTCCTACGCACTCATCATTCTTGATAATCGAGATGAATTCATTCTTCGCCCGACCAGCAAGCCACACTGGTGGTCTTCCAATCATCAAGAAATCCTCTCAAGTCGAGACCTTCAACGTGCCGAGCAAGGAACATGGCTAGGCATTACGAAGACTGGTAACTTTGCAGTTCTTACAAATTATCGCGAAACAAATACCCACGACAAAGATCATCCTGTACAAGGAACGAGGAGTCGAGGCGGTATGGTCACGGCTTGGTTGACGGCAGAAAACGACGAGAGTACCAAACAATTTGTACACAGGCTATTGGACGGGGATGGAGTGAAAGGTGTCGGCGGGTTCTCCTTGGTATGCGGGAAGTTGCGAAAAGAAAGATCCTCTGACGACCAAATGGAACCTCTAGCAATCATTTCAAATCGCAGCGGAACCCCAGATGAAGTACCATGGGTAGCGGCCAACAGAGGAGAGGTTTACGGCTTAAGTAATACTTCCTACGATGATCCAATAACTTGGCCCAAGATTAAGTCTGGCAAGGAAAAGGTCTTGGAGGTTGTAGAAGAAGTGGTACTCAATGGCTTTGGAGAAGAGGAGCTAATCAAGAAGTTGTTCACTGTTCTGGATATCGATACGCTCCCGAAGAAAGATGACAGTCAGGACTTTGAGGAGTATATCTATCAGCTGCGCAAGTCAATCTTCATACCTGCCATCGGCCATGCAGCCCCAGCTTCAGAAGTTCCAAAAGCAGACGAGATTGCAGCTGCTGTCGGGAAGGTATCGTCATCCAACGAAGAATCCGCAGTCGAGATGAAGGAGGAGCGGATCAAGGATCAGGAGGAGCAAAGGCCAACGCCCGAGAACAATAATGTTATATCTGGCATTTACGGTACTCAAAGGCAAACCATCATTCTCGTAGATTGGCAAGGACATGTCACATTTATAGAGCGCTCATTGTTTGATGAAGAAGGCAATCCGTTGGAAAGAGGACAAGCTGATATGAGGTTTGAGTTCAATATCGAGGGATGGAATGGGGAAAGTAAGGGAAATGAAGTATACCCGCACGCAGTGCTATAGTTTGCTAATAGGATGACAGACGACAAAGTACAATAGTATAATTTAAACCGTTAAACCAAACGATAAACCCTTATTAAGTGCCAAGGGCATGATTACATTACCTCGTAGTAGAAGCGGTAATGCTGCTGATGTATATATCCATCCGAGGACCATGTGTCCATTTTCCTCAAACCATGCTGCAAGTTTCATTCGAATGTTTTAATGTTCCAGACGATAGCCAAGATCAGTACCTTTATTACCCACCTAGTTAACCTAATTTCTGGGGTAAGTGAAGTGAAGTGAATGGACAGGTAGGTATGTATTATGTATTTGTAAATTCACTATCGATGTCATGTATAGCGGCCATATTTTAAGAACGCACCTTCCACATTCTTTTCTTAAAATAAAAGACTTCAATCAATTTCACCAATAATCAGTGATTCCTTCCCTTCCAATCTCTTCTTATTTCAACCAATCTTTCAGACGACAGACTTTATTTTTATCATCTCCTAAATGAAGGGGATATTCATCATTCAACAAATGTTATCGAATTTTTGAAATCGAACTTTTGCCTAGGTATTCATCACGCCGCCTCCGCATCAGGCAATGATGAGGATATGATAAATCCTTAAGAAACCCCCATCTTATTTGCCTGGCAAGGTTCCCAAAAGCGGTTTACGATCTTCTTGGTTTTGACAACTCTTGTCATTCCTTCTGCTTTAATCTTCAATTGTTGTTTTCTCAACCAGAACAACCCCAGAATCTGGAGTACAGCTTGCGACTCGCGACCCAAACGACCGGTCTATAAAGTGGCTTTGATATCTTGAAGCTGAAGAGAAACCAAAATTCGTAAGTTTGACATCTCATTACCAATTTCTTTTGGAACAGGTCGATATCAACAGAGCAGGAGTTGGATTATGTACGATGCAAACCCTGCAATTCCATCATGTCTATCTGTATTCGTATATGTATGGATTCATAGTCGGCAAACACTTCTAAAATAAGCTTCCATGGAATTTCGAGAATGTTGGAGGACTTTCTTGTCGCTCTATGCACCTTCTGAGACTTTGCATGCTAATTGTGTGAGACTTTAGTAGAGAGCAAATCAACGGATATGGCCAACTATCATCGTCGCATTGCCGCACTCCCATCGAGTCTCTTATCAGAGGAAGATAGTCATTTGAACTCGTCAAAACGGTCTACTTACAGATATGAACGGGGATCAAACACGCAATGGCTAGTTGAGACCCTCCCAATTCTTGTCAAGAGGACTGCTCATCATTCTCCAATCTCGCGTGGTACAGCTTCTTCACCCCCCAAAAGCAGTAATTTGCCTTGCCCGGTATCGTCCCTGCGTAGGCCTGTCAACAATTCGCCAGTTTCGGTCTCGTCTTCACGGTTCCGTCTCGGAAGGGAACCTGTGAATCCAAAGTCATCCCCACGCACCAGAATCAACGATGCAAATAGTGCCCCTTCGCCGAATCACTCGTCCAGAGGTCCACCCTCGAATTCTCAATACACGAAAATCGCAGCTTCAACAGCACGTAGAATCCCCTCAAGTTCACCGGCTTTGACCTCATCCCTACTTCATACCGATGATAAAGGAGGCAAAGTTCATCAAAGACGTAATTTCCCGCCTGAATTGACAGCTCGCGACATAGAGTTTCTAGAGAATTCACAGTCTTCTTCTCCAAACTTATCGGCCCCGTCTTTGTCAAAACGAAACCAGGTTAGCAATTTACCATACTCAGCTTCATCTCCAAACATCAAGAAGTTATCAGATTCCAATGAGAACGCTCCGCCAGTTCCGTTTGCCCCCAAAAGTGAATTACATGAAAGAGTCTTGCATGGTCGTCGTGGGTCTGCACACACCAACAATTACTACCCGCATCCGCTATATAGCAATCCTACCGTTGCTAGCTCTGTCTTGACTGCTTCTGCATCTAGTACGGATATTAGCCAACCACATTCTCAAAATCAAAGGATGCCAGATCGTGACTCCTCAAGGATTCCAAGCCCCACATCAGGATCCAGCTTGAAGTCTACTAGTCGTCGACATCTCCATTCTCCAGTGAGGAGAGCTATAGAAAAGGGAGAAGAAAGTCGGGCACGAAGACGGCACACTTCACCAATTTTGGCGTTACCAAACATTCAAACCAATGCAACATCTCCTGCGGGACCATGCCAAACTGCTTTTAAAACATCGGAGCTGACACCGGAGCCAAAACAGGAATCGACTTCTCTTCCCAAATCAAAAACGTTTGGTGTCTTCTCTACTCTCAAGAACTCATCCTCTATTCAATGGCTTCATAGTAATCGCTCAACGTCAAACTCCACTCATTCTGCAGGCCCAACTATCTCGACAACAAAATACTCGCCGATTCCGGAGTTTACAACAAATACCCTCCAGGTCCATACCGCTCAGCCTTTTGCTTACTGGTGCGGTCGATTTCAAGCCGTGTCAGACCGGTATCAGAGCGAAGATTTTCATGTTTGTGTCATCAATCCCCTTCCTGTTCCACGAGATAGCGATATAAAACGTGAAAAGCCATCCTCTCACTACAGACGCACCGGTAAAGCACTCCGAGAAGCAAATTCTCCATCGAATTCTGATTCACCGGCTCCATTCCTAGAGAGATCTCGCAAGAAGACCCCAGTCAAATCACATAAGACTGTTCTCGCCTTCTCAACTCCAGCACACTTTCTAGAAGATTTTGATAAACGAGCTCAGAAGGTCATGGTGTTTCTCGCATCATTGTGCTGTACAAGTCCGGCTAAGAAGAGTCTCAGGGAATGGCAAATTCAATATGCTACACTAATGAAGAATAAAGCTCTAATGCCTAGAAATGACACAGATGATAAGGGCTTCTTTGGGAGAATGGGAAAAGTCATTAGTGACGGTGTTAATGGGAACAAAAATGGTACAAATGGAAGAGGAACTGTAATGGGAAAGCGAAGCGCTTTTAGCCTCAGGAAAGGTGGTAGAAGTGCAGCGGAAGACCACTGACTATTCCTCCAATTTTCGATGATCAAAGCTTGGGTGTATTCGAAGCGAAGGTTCAGATGTTGGAATACTAACATGCCTAATATATTTAGCTCCAAGGTCGTGGTAATAGGGGATGCCAAAATATTGATTTGAGGAACGACGTTGGACTTAACAAATACAAATGAACGTGGCAGGAGCTTGCAAGTAAATGATGATTCGATGAGATACGATGGTTATGAGCGATTCAATACGATACAATAATATGAGATAAGAATCAGACGACACGAGATGAGAAACTACAATACGATTTCTATGAGGACATCAGATGGGCTACGAAATGGTTCACCACAGTACAATAAGATGAGATGGAAAGACAGGTTCTAAGACATTGTTTAATAAATAGCTATAGTTGATTATTTCTGGTCTCTCAGTGGCGAGAGAAAAGAGCAGCAGCAAAAGCAGCAGCAGTAATAGTAATGAGAACGTTTGAGACTTTGAAACATTATCCCAGTATTGGGTTGGGGCTTGAATATTCCCTACGGACCGTGATTTGGAAGCAGTATTTGAAAGTCTGTATACCAGCCAATTATCAACACTGAACAAAGGCGAACTTCAACATATTCCTAGCAGAAAGACGCATAGTCAATTAGCCTGTTAAACTGCAATGCTCGAATCCTCGCTTACAAGCCCGCCAGCCAATGAAAAGCTACCTCGAAGCTAGAAATGTGTACTAATCACCACTCATGGAGCAGATTACTTCTACTCTTATTCATAACGATGCAGTGCTGAAGAGCAAACGATATCGAAGAGGGAAGCATAGGAAGAATTTGAATATATCATAACGTGAAATAAATAACATTTTCAAAGGCTCCTAAAACGCAGCAATATATACAAGGCGCCATAACCAAATATCCAAAACAATCCTCCATTTCAATTTCAATTACAGCGTTTCTCAAAACTTGTTCACTCGAATGAAATTATCCCATCAACAGCATCTCTTTCCATCCACCAACCTACTCTTCCCATCCGTCAAATTCAACACGCTCTTCGCCTCCCCACCCTTACTCGCCGCCACACTGCTCGGCGTACTGCAGTAACTAGGCGGCACATCCAGCGCGGGATTCTTGGTGAAAAAATTTCTCGGCCTCAACAACAACGTCATGGGTTCGGCCGGCATGATGGGAAAATCCTCGGGACTGGGGAAGTGCGTGATGCCAAACGTGTGCCAGAGCACAATATCCGTATTCTGAATCGACGCCTCGCCGTTGGCGATCCACTCGGGCAAGCCTGCGCTGGGCTCCCCCGATGTCTGGGGCACGTGGCGTCCGGCGGGATGCAGCTGGTCGTCTGAGTAGGGCGTCACGTGGACGGCGTGGCGGGCGAAGCCGGCGCGCTTCCACACGAGCGACCCTTCTTTGGGAAGGAGCTTGGGAACCTCCCGGCTGACGAGTTTGTAGGAGACGGGTTTGTGGGAGTAGGGGTTGAGTTTGTTGGGGTTGGCCATTTCCCAGGTGCGCGAGGTGACGCCGTCGTAGTCGGAGATGGATTCGTTGACGGTTTTGTATTCTGTTTTTTGGGCGAAGAAGGCGTTGCCGTAGGGATTTTCGGGGGAGCCGACGGCGCCGGCGCCGGGGAGGGCGTCGGCTTGGAAGACGGTGTTGTTGGGGCCGTCGATGTTGGAGTCGATGCGCAGACAGAAGAGATGTTGATGATTGTGCGCGTTGACGCCCGGGTAGACTTCGGTGCCCCAGCCCTTGGTGTCTTCGCCGGGGTTCATGGAGTAGGTGTTGAGGATACCGGTGAGCTTGATTTCGAGTTGGATGGTGCCGTCTTGGTGGAAGATCCAGTAGACGCAGTATTCGTAGTTGGCGGCGGTGAAGATGTGGGAGATGATGAGTTTGCGGCCGCGAGTGACGATGACGGATTCGTCGCGGAAATCGGTATGTTTGAAGAGGATACCGGCGTCTTCTTCGTGGATGCAGATGGCGTTTTTGATGGTGGTGCTCTCACCTGCACGGTTTACAAAGGCAGCGTCCTAGTTTATCTATAGTTAGAAATGGCTGGGGGTGTTTCATGCTGGAATGAATTAGACTGTACCATGTAATGAATAGCACCTTTGCAGTCACAGCCGAGAGAGAGACTGTTAGTCATGTATCCTCCTCCATACTCTCCAAGATCGAAAGCGTGTTTACGTTGATGTGGATGTTCGGGGTTACCATAAGGAACAACCATCTCGGCGAGAGAAAGTCTGTAGAATATAGGTCTGACAGTACCCTTGTCATTGTATGTAATGTTGTTGAGGACAATACCTTCCTTGTAATTAAATCCGACATGGAAGTTCCAGTTTTGCCAGTTGAGCTCTCGACCATTGACCTTGAATGATACGCCAGATGGTTGTGTAATATTGATTGGAGTGATATCTTTCCTGTACCCTCCCTCTTTCTCAATGCTCGCTGGGTGATAATTGTTTGGCGCTGCCTTGTTCACGGGTCTTCGAATCTCAGGGATATCGATGTGAATGATCTTTTGTTTTTCGGCATCGAAAATAGGACAGAAATCAAGGGGGAAAGAGTATTGCGAATCGTCCATGTGTGGTCGATAATACATGAGGGCTTGTTGTAGACGAACGTTGTTGCCAAATCGGTGGTCGTAACCAATGGTCCATGCTGTTATCGCTTAGTATAAGGGGAGTAAACGAGGGAAAATACAGGGGACTCACGATCGCAATACACTTTGTGCATATCTTCCGCTGGAATACCACTCAACACACATTGTTCAATGACCTTGGGATCTTTACGAACAACATGCTCGACAATTTGGAGATCTTCCATGGTGATCTGAATTTATTGTCAGCTTTTGTTTGCTCAGGATAGGTTGAGAACATACCAAAGGTTGTACACCATCAATGTTTTCCCATTTCAAAACTCTTCCCTCTGCCAGATCAACCAAGCCATCGTACACCTTACCACCTGGCGCGATAACCACCACATCTGCGATTCTCTTTGGTCTTGGAACAACTTCTGGGCTCTCGAGCCATTTCATCATCTCCTTTTTGCGAGGTTCATATAATGTGATGGCATTGTAATGAACGGATCCCTTCTCAGCCCGGATAATCTGAACTGCTTTCTCAATTTCTGCATTGGAGAGAGGATCGAATGGATGAGGTGGAGGGGAAGTTGCGGCGAGGTGATATGCGAGGGATTGAAGTCTATTGGAAGCCATTCTAGCGAATTGCAGAAGTCAATTGGGAGAAGAAAGACAACAGACAGATATCCAATTGAGACTCTTGATTCTCTTTGAAGGAATTTCAGAATAAAAAAGGATCTTTTACAAGAAGAAAAGCAACAGAAAGCGGTATACAGAAAGAAAGGTGATGGGGGGACTGGAAGCTCCAAATATATATCTGCTACGCGTATCTCCACTGAACGTCAGGTACCTGTGCGTGAGCGGGACTTGGTATATCAATCGGGTCAAGACACGACAGACCAGCGCATGAAAGTTTCTGAAGTGGTATTCTCATTACATTTCTCAAGAGGATTGTGAGGTTATCGTATGGCTGGACAAATCCTAGCTCGTCCGATTCTATGACCGATGACTTTGATAGCTGTTCCAACGAAATATGAAAGCTTGGAAAAGTGGATAGAGGGGTCCGATAAGCTTGAGATAAGATATTCTAACCCCAATTGGGTCATGGAATCCCGATCCACGTGATTGCGAAATGTCTCGAAATGAGCTGTACGGATTAGGGATGAATTTCCGGAAGATTTCGTGTGGGTTGGTGAGAAATAGGAAATGTTGATAGGGAAGTTCATTCGTCTTGTTTTGACAATGTGGTTGTACAAAAAAATATAGTCGATCCCGGGGGTCTTGGGATCAGATCGATCGAGGGAATAATTCACCGCAAAGACGTTGAGCATCACGCGTGGCCTTACTGATACCAGTGAAGGAAAATGATCAAGACATAGAGGGCTTACAAAAAGAGAAACAAGAAAGACTGTTTGCAGGTAAAATCGAAGCGACATGTTTAGGAGAACTACATTGGAAAGGTTAGGATACAGAGCTTTTCGCTGTAGTTATACGAGCAGGCACGAAGACGATAGTCAAGTAGAACAGTACGTATTGCAATACTAAAAAAGATCCCTAGACTTCAACATGGCGCATACAAATAAGTCTCTAACAAACATTAGGTCCCGATTCCAACACTTTTGCAACCCCCTGTGCCAGAACGTCATGCATAGGATAGGTAGGATGCAATGAGTTCAACCAGAAATACTCGTTGACAGGTATGTAGCAAGATGGATCGCTATAATTTGATGTCGGCGTACCACTGCAGTAATTTGGTTAGCAGGTTAAAATCAACCGAGTGATGAAGGGAATAGCTTACTTCTCGTACGCGACGCAATAAGCAGTGGTATTGTGGTAGACAGATGTCTGAGGAAAGCTCTTCGGATTATCCAAGACTTTTGTGAATAGGGCATGAGCGTCAACTGTGAAGACATTGACATCCGTGAAGGTTTTCTTGAGGCTTTGGGCAAGTGTCGCAAGACGGTTATTCCAATCAGCAATATCAAGCTTTTCCTGGGCTTGTGCTGCAGCCCCGCCGGCAATCGACAATGGGCTTCTATCCACAGGTGGAACATTCAGAAATGCAAAATTACGAGCGCCGATGTAGTAGAGCTCATCTACTAGACCGTGATAAACTGCCATGATTCGTTCGTTAAGGTTTGCAGTTGCCGGAGCTCCAAGGAAATACGAATTACCAACATCGTTGATGCCGTCGAAAAGAGCAAAAAGGGTGTTGTCAGATGACCATGGAGCTATCTCTGGCTTTCCTGCGTAAGTGGGGAAGAACTGGTTCTCGATTTGATTGGCAATAGATGAGACTTCTGGTTTATAAGGTGCTACAAGATCGGAGTCGACGGTGGCTCCTCCATACGCCAAATTATACGTCAACACGGTAGATTTGTTTGTATTGACTGTGAGATAATCTACCCAATTTGGACCATTGGAAGAAGTATAGCCTAGGAGAAGTCAGAGCTACTTAGAGGCATATCAAATCGAAGGTCTTCTAACCTGGATATGTAGGATTTCCAAGTGGATTGGTCGGTGTCGGCTGAGTCCCATTCGTCTCGAAGCCAGTCTGCGTGTAAGAGTCCCCACTAGTATAATTAGTATGTGTATTCTACATTGTTTTTTGGTGAGTTTCTCACAAGACGAATGCATATTGGAGTTTGTTCCAACCTGGCCAGTGTGAGGTTGCTGAGCAGTGTTTCTGAGTATCCTGGGCTAATGGTGCTCCATGAACGGAAGCGAGAAGAGATGCGATAGCAAGCACAGTTGCCAAGCGTAACGAAGCCATCTTTGCAAAACTTGTCAAGAAGCCTACGATTTAGGTGATGAAAATATGAAGATCTAATTGATGATGTTGAGAGAAGATCAACGTATATCACTTAATTCAAAAGACCACGGCCTACCGAACTTTCCGAGAGCAAGAATATAAAAGTAGACATGTTCACAGACTAGAATGGGTAGATAAAAAAAAACTGTGATTGTATCGTTTGAATTGATTCCTTGTAACGCAGCGGGGAACAGTCTACAACTAACCTTTTGTAGAGTATAAATCGTATGAAATGGTTTGTACTCCGAATTCAGACGGAACATCTCGTTCCGCTGCCGGTTGAAGGCCAAGCTTCTCCACGATGTATTTTGCATGCGGGGAAGATCTAGCACCCGCCTGCGTCATGAGATTAACTCGCCAATGATAGTCTGAATGACAACTTAGCCGGTGGGGTTCGAGATAACTCTATTCACCTTGTGAATGAAATCAAACCTTGCTATTCCGGGTGATTGAAGAACGGAAAAATTTGCGACATACAAGCGGAACTATATAGATCTTCGAAGCTGGTTGATGGATGGATGGATGGATGGATGGATGGCGATTCAAATATGCGCGAATGTTTGAACATTGTCAAAGATTTGAGGCGATGCGATGTAGAAACTATTTATCGGATGTTTACATACATGACAACACAGTCCTCGATTCTTTGGTTGAACAATCCACTTCTAAATAAGTTTCACAGAGTTTGCACCTCAAAGAATCTCAAGAATATCAGATAGATACGGCGTATTCGTAGGGGAAAAAACAGTATGAATTTGACCAGTCAATTATCCATTGAAATCCCTTGAATTAAATGAGTTATAACTGGACTATAAACGTAATAAAAATGTTTCCAAATAGATCAAAGGAGTCATTAGCTTCTAGTTATGTAAGTCATATTTGAAGAGAAGGCCTCATCGCAATCAATATTCGAGGGAAACAATCGAGTTTCTCAAAAGTGTTAAAGTGTTATCAAGGTGGTCAAATTCCGACTCGTATTTCTTTTACGAATAGAGAGTGTCTTATCACTCCACCATCGGAACATCCTCGGGTAGAAGCTCATACTTGGATCAAATCACTGAACAGAAGGGACTTGATGTTTTGCGAGGTATGGTATAAACTTAGGTAGTTTGTCAAGTGTCGTCCTAGTCAGCTGATGACAACTGGATGAAGGTAACGATGGCACGCTGTAGCAAAAGCCTTTCACGATTGATTCGCTATGACAAAATGCTATTCGCCTTACCAAAATTGTTATCTGCACGAGAAAGAATCCCCGGTAGTATCGGAAGGGACCCTCTAAGATCTCAATTGTGGACTTCCAGAGTATCAGAGACCTTTGATCAAATTCTTTTGAAACGGGGCGATTGACTTCAATCACAGATGGTTCTTATTGATGCAGACGGTGATGGAGGGTGATATTCTCAGATCCACGCAGGATTCTCCCAAGTAGTATTTGAAGTACGTCCAAATCGAAGAAGAGCTAACGTTCGCGTTCTTTCTTTTGCTGAACACTAATAAATAGTGGGATGGGACGGGCCGGGTAGAAGACTAGAAGTGTTGCCATAAGTGTGACTCTAGTGCCGTGGGAAGGAGGAACTTGGACTATCATGCCTAGGTGTGTTTTTGTGATGATGCTAGGTGTATATATATAAGGATTGGTATTTTAGATGGTTAACGAGTCATGTGACGATAGGCCACCGTGGCGAGCGTTGATAATCTTAAGCTAGATGCACTTTAATGATTGCTAGAAAGATCTAACTATTAATCTCAGGGTTACCGGTAGCTAAAATTTGGGCATCACTTCAGGTACCTACTTATATTATTAGATGAATATATGAATATATGTTCATTTCCCAGAAGATTACAAACTCATCCTTCTTATGCTTGGTAGTACATACGTAGCTAATGTTTTTGATATCATGTCAGATATATTACATGTGTACTCCATCGTACATCGTACCTGGTACTTACTCGGTATCGATACTCGGGCATAAGATTCAAAAGTAATTAATCTGATCGCCATCTACGTCACCTGGCCCTAGAATCTTTTCCCACAAGGGACGGTAAGGAAACCCTTGGGTAAAGCCCTGTGCCTTGTGGAACCCATTCACGGATGATACCTGGGAAGGAAGATAGCAGTGGGGATATTCTTGGATCACTGCCGGCGAAGAATCAAAATGAGAATGAAGATAAAGATAGAGATCAAAACTCGATGCAAAGGGGAAGAGAGAGTACATACGGAGTATTATGATATACGCCTAGTGTCTATCTAGTGAATGTGTATATGTATATATATATATATATATATCCATCTAGGTTTATACTTCATATATCGTACTCGAGGTATAATCAAATCAGATGGTGAAGAGACCAGAAAGGCCACCAATACCATACAATTCGATCCTGTTCCAGACAATGAATGGTTATTACCTATATATCAAGGTATACATGCATACATACTTGACCACATAAATCAATAGATCAACGCAAGACAACGAAGCATACGCATACCTATACAGTTACTCGGAGACAGTTTATACTCCATCAACATACATACATCCACATACGAAGTACACACATACACCTACTAGGGCTAGGGAGGGAGAGAGAGAATCTTTCTATCCATTCAGAAACCTTTCACGTGTAATGATCTCCTTGGGCAGCAAAGGTGCATCGGTACATACCAGATATCATCAACCCAATGATATTGCTTAATACGAAGTCAACACTGCGTAAACCATGAGTGAATCCTTGAATCCTTGAAGTTACAAAATCCTTGAATCCTTGAATATTTCGTCACTTTAACCTGTTTGTGTTAATTTTGCATCGCTTTGCACGCTTTGCTCACTCGCTCATAACCTTTCAATTCCAACCTCCAAATTCTCCCCAAAAAGTCAAAATTCAAAATCCCACATCCTCGAAAGAATTATCCACCGTCTCCTTTTTTTCCCTAAAAAGAACTTTAATCACAAGTTCTCGAACCTTAACACAATTCTTATATTCCAACCTCCTTATTTTCATATCGTGAAAATTCTATACCTCTCATCTCCGGCAAGCAACGTCTTTTGGGTTGATTCTGATCGATACTTTTGGTTGGGTTTACCATCCACCCACGTTTTTTGATCACTTAAGCGGGGTACGAGTTCACCATCGCAACTTACTGGGTCATTTCGCATAAGACATCCCTCAGCTGAACAACAACTTCTCGAACTCTTCAACTTTTCAACAATCTAAATCCAACTCTCACGCCATTCACTTTGATTTAATCGAACTTAAATTCGAGAAATCATGTCTAGAATGGGTGATCCTTATCGAAATTCCTCGGAAACCCTAAGCAGCCGTGGCGGTGGGGGGAACCGTTGGGACAGTGAACGGTTCGCCTCGGAGCGCGACCGAGTCCGTTTCGCACCCGATCGAGACGAACGAGATTCCCGATTTCTCAGAGCTACAGGTGGCCATACACGAGAACGGTCTTATGATGATGTTTACGAACGTCGAGGTCCACGAGGATACGAAGAGGAGCGAGAACATTACGACGAACGGGATTATTACGATTCACCCAGGCTTCAACGTGAACCAGAACCAGGACGACAAAGATCTACAACTATTACATTGGAAAGAGAGCGAGAGAGGGAAAGGGATGATTCCCCACCACCTCCTCGAAGAGCTGGTGGCAGACCCGCATTTTTGAGAAGACAGAGTTCTCTTGATACATTTGACCGCAAGCCGCTGGTTAGGTATGAGAGAGAAGCCGAGAGGTTGAGGGATGAGTATGGTCCACCTGCCAGACGCCCAGATGTTAGGCCACCACCTTTGACACCTGTTCCACTACCAAGAGCTAGAGGACTGCCCCCACCTAGAAGATATGCTGAGAGAGATTACGACGAAATCAAGGTCGCAGAACCCGACTTCTATGGTGATGAAGACTTCAGAGCTTATCCCGAAAGAATTAGAGAAAGAGAAATCGTCAGACGAAGGAGAAGAAGTCACGAGAGAAGAGGCAGCCATGAGAGAAGAAGCCACAGAAGTCATAGCAAGGAGAGTCGTTCGACTGCCACAAGAAGCGTTAGAAGCGAGAGCGTTAGCTCATCTGATAGTGGTACTACGATATCAGTAAGAAGTGAGTTCCCTAAGAAGGGAAAGACAAGAATGCCAGCTAGGTTGGTCAGCAAGAAAGCTATCATCGATTTGGATTATCCTTTCGAAGAAGAGGTCAGTCATTTTAAATATGTATCCGTTAGACAAATCGTATTGACATGTATAGGGTGACACGATCATCATTCAAAAGGCACTTGGAAGAGAAAATATTGATGAGGTCATCAAGTTGAGTGAGGAATACAAAGCGGCTGAGAGTAAGTATCTATCTTTCATTCACTCTTCATCGCCGCACCAAAATGCCCCCTAACCCCATGCTTCCAAAGAAGTCAAAGTCGAAGAGACGAAAGAGGTAGAGACAACTCTAACAACATACCTCATTGCTCCAGAACTCGAAATGTCAGGTGGCCGATCAGAAGCTGGAACTGTGATCGAAGAACGTACGGAGGTCTTCACTATTCCACCACCCCCACCACCAGTAGTACATCACGCACCTCCGCCTCCTCCATCGGTTGTACACCATGTCCCTCCGCCTCCTCCATCAGTTGTACACCATGCTCCTCCACCTCCTCCATCCGTACACTATCCGCCTCCTCCAGAGTCAGTTCACTATCCTCCCCCGCCAGAGTCAGTTCACTACCCGCCTCCTCCGCCAGAGTCAGTTCACTATGCACATCCACCTCCAACTCCAGCTCAATGGGTGCCACCTCCCGCATCGGTTGTATATGCGCCACCACCTCAACCAGTCATATATGCACCACCACCGCCACCTCAACAGCATGTTGAGATCCACGAATCCACTAAGATCGTCGAACGTTCTCCATCTCCAGCACGAAGCACATACTCTCATCATAGTCACCATAGCCACCATACTCATCACCATAATGACCCCGTCATATTGGAAGGACGCCCTAGATCGCGAGACGAAGAGAGCGTCTTTTACGAAAAGCGGGAGATCATCGAGCGCACAGAGCCTATCGGTGCAATGACTTTATCACACTCTCATAGTCATCGTAAGGATGAACGCTCCATTCGAGCTGAGATCAAAGCTCTCGAGGCCGAGAAGGAAGCACTCAAAGCGGATCGACGCGCTAACCGAGAGTTGCGCCGCGCGGAGCGTCTTCGTCGTTCAGGGGCCCGACATAGCGACAGCCAGTTGGTACTTTATGAAGAGGAAATCCATGATGGTAGAGATGTGACCGTTGTAAGAAGGGAAAGGATTGTGGAGCCTGAGGGAGGTGTTAGGATCGAAAAGGACCGAAAAGGTAGGATGAGCATCAGTGTTCCTAAACATGCCTATCGTTAGGTGTCTTGCCTGAATGAGGTGGGTCACTTGAGATCGGAATGGGTGGTTTTTGTGAATGAGAGCTAACCCGCTTATTCTTCACAGCTCCTCCACCAAAATTGGTTAGAGCCATGTTGGCTACCCTGACTTAATTTTTTACCACTTTGACAATAAATACCTTTGCTTTATATCACGCATTTCGAGCGTTTATTGAGTCGAGATAGATTAATGAATGGCGTTGACACATATTACCTTGTGGCTGGTTGGACGGAGCTCGTTAATTTCATGCAGGCAGAAATTGTACTTTTTCTTAATTTACTTTTTGAATTCTTTTCACGGCATGGCTATCTAGACTGTATCTGACATGGAGGGATTCATGGGAGGGATATTGGACATGGAAATGGTTCATACGATGATGATATTTACAGCTGCAATTTTACGTTTTATTGCTTTTCGTCTTCTGCTTTTCTAGTTGGAAGATACATTAGTTAGGATACCTACCGATACGTACAGCTTTTGTGCTTTCTCCCTCTCTTCTCTTTCTCTTGCTCCTTTTCTTTTTCTTTTGCTGCTGAATACGTATGCATTTTGCACGGTTTAATGAAGTTACGAAATACTTTTTTTTCTTCTTTCTCTCTTTGGTAATTTGGTTTGGTAATGGGTGGGTGGGTGGATGGATGGATGGGTGGGTATTTGGGAAAGCTGTAATGGCATTCTACCTGGTTGATGAATGGATGGATGGCTTGGTGGATGGCAGGAAAGTATGAAAAGTGTGGAAAGTGAGGGAGGAAGGGAGGGATATCTGAACTAGTGATAGGGAGATAGGATACAATATTATGATTATGAAATTGATGGTTTCAATGCTCGGTGTGTTTGTGATGAGTTGGGGGTGAGGATTAGAGTGAGGATTAGAGTGAGGATTGGGGAATTGTAGGGGATGTGGGAGGAGTTTTTTTTTTTGGATATTTGATAGGTGGATGGGTGGGTAGGCTCGAGGTAGGTACTTGGGTATGCTAAGATGGAATGGAATGGAACAAAATAAAATGAAATAAAACAAAATTGAAAAAAGAAAGGAATAGATCAATCAGCCCAGGATAAACTTCTTCAGGTTTACCTACCTACCTACTGACCAGCAGAGCCTCAGAAAATACTAGGTAGATACGTTGGAATGATCCGACACGTTAAGGGCATTTGGATGTTATCCAAGGAAAATCCGATATCTACGTGGCGGAAGTGTAAATCGATTAATTGATAGCAGGTATCCGGAAGTCTATTTATGTACCTAGGTAGGTAGGTATCAATTAAACTGCTCGTGCATCCATCATAAATCGTGCGAATATTTTCGGTTTAGTTTAGAAAGTCGAGTATTCCGGTCTTTGAGTGACTTTTGGAAGACAAGACCCTGAATGTTAAGATTGTGAATACCGCGAGTAGGATGGTATCTACCTACCTAGGTACTTGTCTTGGTATCTACAGTATATGTATATAAATCCCCCGAAATCATGTGGCTTTGTTTGAACACCGTAAACACCTCGCTATGCACCATTTCCTGCCCCATCCCATCCTAATCCATCGTGATACCTTCCCTTTTGGCCAATTTTTTGTTCTCTTTTGAAAATCGAAATATTGGAGTGCGCCGTGTTGCTAAAATGCGTCATCTCTGTTCTACTTTGTCTTCCTTGTGTGTATCCCATCGAGCTGCATGGTTTGTAATGAGCAGTCATCCATCAGCACGCAATAGCACTGTTGATCTGAATGAATAGCGCAACACTCAAGATTTTCTCCTCTTTCTTCCCTATCCCTGTCTTATTTTCTTCGCTTTGAAGTAATCTCTTAACTGTTCCACCCTCGTAACAAAGAACATCCTCTTCGCATCACTCTTCCAAATCAACACTCCCACCTCTTCAGCATATTTCGCACAACCTTCGTATTCCTTCTGGGTCTCAAAATCCTTCATCAAAAATCCCGGTACGGCTTTCATTCTCTCGTTTTCTAATTGCCAAAGACGGATTTGATCAACGACCGTGGGTGGTAGTACAGGTCCTCCATGAGATGCGGAAGAAGCTTTGACAAGTTGGGGATGCGCATGGGTGGATAGGTAGGTAATTATTTGGTCGGATGTAATGCCATGAGCTATGGCGGTACGGATAGAATCGCGAGATACGCGGCCACTGACCATGTTGGGATAACGAGTGTTGAGTTTGGTGAAGAGTGAAAGAACGGCAATTTGGAGGGGTGAGTTTGTATAAGCGTATAGGCGGTAGTTAGTCTCGATTATTATAAAACCCTTTTGGCTGGCAGCAGATTTGGAGGCGGCATCAAATCCTGCAGCCACAGTGCGAAGTGCACTGGCATCAGAGGTGAGAGTTGTGGCTAGACGTGTTGGAAAGAATTGTGTAGGGGCTGAAGGAGGGAGGTAGATTAGCCCCAAGTCGATGAGATTAGCCAGCATCCCTTGTTGGGCGTCTGTGAGAGTCTTAGTGCTGTATGCACGTCCGAGTTCGAGGGAGCCTAGCATGAAGAGAAAAGAAAGTACATCGACGGAATCCATTCCCATGCTTTCGGCATTTTCAATCCATAGAAGGAGCAGAGTCCAGACTTGCGCATTGGCTTCTTGCAATAGAAATGAGAATCCAGCTTGAGTGATACCGATACTTCGACCTCTTGTAACCAATTTTCCTGCATCAAGTAGTGCTTTCACTGAATTTGCAGGCCCATTTCCATCCCTTCCTGACCCGGATGTAACAGTGTTGACCATATAATGTAGAATCCCTTCCCATTGTATTCGAGCATGTGTATCCAAGAAATCAATATCAACATGTGGCGCAATATGGTCCGACGAAGGAACTCCGAAAGATTGATGATTTCCTCCACCTGTAAGTGCCAGTCGTAGAGAGGCTCCAAAATTCTTAGTTAAGGCTACAGTTTGAGGATCTTCTCGGCTCAGCGCAGTAATATCGACAATATGCAGTCGCGATAACAAGGATAGGGCTTGATCTTTTTGCCTAGGACATTTTAGCATATGGCATCCATTTCAAGTCAAGACACATACTTCTTGCTCTTAGGTTGTACCCATTGATCCAGAGCAGTGAGGGGTAAAGGCTTAGGCATATAGAGTAGTGCCATCACAAAGGTTTTGGCAAGATGAGGCAGCATGCGCCTGAAAATGGCCAAAGAAGTAGAAGGTTGCTGATACAATCGCCTGAAAGTTGTACCTGGTAATCTTTCCAGGTACTCGAATGAAGCAAGAGTTGAGACAGACATATTGAAATGGTAATTGTCTATCGTTCGCAGATATTATGAATTCGTCATCGCTGGTAGGGAATCCAGGAAGCTCTACAGCCTTGCAAGTAATAAGTAGCCTGGTGGTGGAGAATTTTGAGCTTGGACCATATATTTGTCTCCCTCTAGCGAACGAAATACGGTGGAGCACTACTAGTCACCTACTTGCTGGATGGATGTGGGTGACTTGCACTCTGTATTTAGCATCTTCCTCACATTGTACAATGGCATTCTTGTTCAATTTGCAAGCTCCAAACTCCAATTCTCCAGTGCCCCATCAATCTCGCAACGAATAGACATGCCCAGCAGTCGGCGGGGTCAAACCCACGCACGCGATAAGGAGGTTGAAGAGGACGGGCACCGTCTACTAAAACCTCTTCTTATACACTGTCTTTTGCTGGTATCAACCTGTAGCAAATAGGAGGGCGTCTCACGTGATCACATTATTTCGTAATTGAGTAGGTATGCATAAGCATCCTTGGCTTATCATCATGACCGTTGCTTCAGTTGAATACAACTTGACTACACCTCCTTCAGGAAGTTTCGGAATGAAAGGGACCCAACAACATGTTTTCTGTCTCTGTCCTTAAGAGGTATAGAAGACTACCCTTCAAAATCCAAGCTACCCTTAGGCCCATCCTTCTTACCCCTTATCAAAATAGAACTCATTTCCAGATTCCTGTCCGACAAGCTCACACGAAACCCCCTTCTTCTTTTTTATCTGGGACACGATTCAAAATAGGCGAGTGGCGGCGTTTCCTGATTTACTTTATGATATGCCTTCCACTTGCGTCTGAAATAATAGATTGGATTCTAGTTCATCCCCTCAAATCCGTATACGTTAAAAATTTTACCTACAAATCAAAAGATACATCGGCATCGTATCAGTATGGGATTCTGCACAAAGGGTATATCCGATTGGTCAGTATCAAGGCTGGGAATTGGGACGATCCGATTGAATTGGAATTGAATCATGTCAAATTTCACCCGGTGGAACTCTATGGGGATTTCTCTCCGCTCTACCCAAATGTGCCTACGTATGAAGCTCTATCATATCCGTGGGGCGATGGGAAGAATAAAGTGTATGTCTTTTTTTTGTCATCATTTGCATCTCCTTGCTGTGTATTCATCTACTCGGAGTTGGCATAGTGCTTGGCAAGTGCTGAATGATACCAATGAATCGAATAGCTGGTACCTTGGAGAAATATGTACAAGGTACAAACCTTTTATGAGAAACCAAGATTCCTTATCTTAAAATTTGAAACACTTGAAGATATACACAATGTTTAGATATTCAAGTATATGAGGATGGGCCGTACATGTTTTCATAGGTTTCAATGTAGATATGGTATCATCCTTCCATATTTTATGGAAAACGGCAAAAGGTGAAATTACAGCAGTAATATCAACTAATGAATACCGCAGACCAATAAAGTTGAATGGGCAGCCTTTCAGTATCACACCTATCTCCACTCCGCACTTCTCGTCCTTCGTGATAATTCCAACCCCGCCCCAATGTGGATTGATGCCATCTGCATCGATCAGAACGATCTATTTGAAAAAGATACGCAACTACGCGTCATGCATCTAATTCACACGAATGCTACTCGTGTACTCGTCTGGCTTGGTGAAGACGACAAAACGGTCGATCTACATGCTGCAACCGAGATTATCTCTCACTTCAAGATGAAAAGCGGAGAATTGCGAAGAAAGGCCAAGTCAATAGCTCAAAAGGAACCTTCAGCTGATTTACAAGTGTGGCTGCAGAAGTGGGTCGACGGCGACTGGCATACTGGGCCGGAGTATATCTCTGGCTGGAAAGCAATGCAGAATATACTCGCTCGACCATATTTCACGCGATCCTGCATAATCCAAGAAATGGTGTTATCTTCTAACCGAAAAATTCTTGTAGGCCATCACGATGTAACAAATATTCTCGATCTTGTTTTCATCATTCACAACTTTCCCCAGATTAAGAATCGGATTCCTGCCCAGTATCTTAATGAACCGGACGTCATACCGCGTATCTACCAGCTAAGCCTGGCCATGCAGACATACCGGACTGCCTTGAAGTCAATGTATGTTGTTCCTGGCACCAATCGTGAGTTCAAACTCGCGGGGCAGAGGGGACTCAATTTAGGAGAGCTTCTCGCTAGGTTCCGAGGCAAAGAGTCCACGTTGCCAATGGATCATGTGTATAGTGTTTTGGGAATGACAATAGACTCCAGCATCATGTATAAAGTTCCTTTTTGGACATCCTGGACCAAGAAACTACCAGTACAACAGCTTCCACAAATTGATCACAAGCAGTCGCTGAGGAAACTGTGTACCGACACTACGCGATATATCCTAAAAGAAGATGGGGATTTAGGGGCTCTGAGAATGATTAATACACATAAGAAGCCCACCAAAGACAAAGATTGGCCGTCTTGGGTTCCAGATTTCTCATCTCAGTTGCCGGGGCCAGGCGAGCCAGAAAGTATGCAATGGAATTTAGAGTCTTCAACATTTCCTCAAAACATGAATAAATTCTTTGTTGATAGAGGTAGGTTGGTGGTGTATGGACATGTTCTTGGTGAGATTGAAGGGCTTGTTGGAATGATACAAAGAAATGGAGAGTACTCCAATAAGACGGGTGACAGACCGAGTGAGTTGAAGAAGGAAAATTTGAGGTTGAGCCAATATAGGGATGGGTTTGGGTTTTTACCGTTGGCGATTTCGAGAGATAGTGAGGGACGGTACGTGTTTGGTGGGACGAGTATGAGGAAGGGAGATTTGGTAGTTGTAGTTGGTAAAGGAAGAGACCCATTGATTCTGCGAAGACTGAAGCATGGCGAGGAACTAGGAGGTGAAAGCAGGAAGGAGAGTACTGAGACGCCCGTGTACCAATTAGTAGCAACAGCGAATATACCGGGTATCGAGAAAATCCAGAAGAAGCTTGCTTTGGATGATATACAATGGGATGTTGAGAAAATGATTATAAAGTAAGGCAGGTCGGTTTTATGGATTGTTCTATGTGCGATAGTCGAGAATAGACAATCTGGTTTCAAGATACAAATGGACAATATGTTGACACCCGACGTATCACATGTGAGCTTTGTATTTTGCACATATTTCTCCATTTGAATCAAAACTGATCGAATTTAGATACGCAAAATGGAATAATGAGGTAGTGAAGGCATGAAAAATACGACTAGAACTACTACAGCTATCACGACCACGACCACAAACACAATCAGACACCTTCCACCGTGCTATATCCGCCAGTATCGAGAGTCATAATGAGATTTCAACCAGCACTGGTGACATCAAATTCAGCCGAACATGCATTAATGGTAAAAGACCGCGATCGAATGTTTTAAGATATAGAATTCCTTAATTAATTCAATTGATTTGATGCTTGACATCACCGGTAGACTTCGTTACCGGCCGATGCGGCCCCAGTAACTTTGAACAGCGGGCGGCCTTACTGCGGCCTCAGACACAACCAAGGGTATTAATCCCTGTTCAGCCAATCGCGGTGTCCTCATACAGAATTACCGATGTTTTTGTAACTACAACACATTCTTATATCAACAATCTATCCAGCTTCACCATACTATTACTTCCCGAGGCCTACAATATGGCTGCTCTAAGATTCGTGAGATCAGTGAGTTGTCGATAGGCCACCAAAATATGCCGATGCTGATATCATTACCTTCACTCAATAGGTTCTGAAGTCTTTTCAAGAATCATCAGGACTTGAGCCGAGGTACTGTTTTCCATGTATTTGGGGTGTCATTTTATAAAATACAGCTCCAGTCTGTCGTCGCAAGTGTTTAGTCGGCACTTCTTTCAAGTATGGGACTTTCAGCAAGTATCTGAAATCAATCTAGTCGTTCTAGGTTACCGTTCATTGGTCCCCCAGGGCCTCCTGCGTAATGTAACAGCGTACCTCCTCTGTACTAGATCAATCTGGGACATTTTTCACTGCTATTGTGGCAGCGACAGTTTTTGATAAAAATATCGACTGACATTTGACTATAGACTCTTTGGTGAAAATGTAGGAAAAGCATTTGCTGTGTATCTTTTAGCTGCGAATTATTTCCATTGACTTTGAAAAGCTTCGAGTCACAGGAGCCGAGCCAGGACGTGTAAACTTTGAGCTTGACATCAAGAAGGAGCACACCGTAAGGAAACTTTCCAAATCGTATATGAGCAACTCGTTCAATTGTCTTCTGTTAGAACCGTTTGAATATTATTCATGGAGGCACGATTGCCAGCATGGTGGACCTAGGTGGCTCACTAGCTGTTGCCTCGAGGGGTCTTTATGCCACGGGTGTTTCTACTGATTTGAACGGTAAACGTTATGCGACCCAATTGCAATTTTATGTTTCTAACCCAAACAAAGTTACATACCTCAACTCTGGCGGTAAGGTTGGAGATGTGCTGAAAGCGGTGGTGATTTGCGATAAATGTAAGTATTGTCGTGTCATTTTTTGAATATCACATCTCTAACATGAGAGTAGTTGGAAAGACCTTAGCGTATACTTCTATCCAGTTTACAAATAGCAAGGGCGAAGTAGCAGCACGTGGAAGCCATACAAAGTCAGTCTTTACCTCCAGTCTTTCAGATTCACAAGCTAAATAGGATCATGATAGATACGTTGCGCTCGCGTGGAAAGAACCCAAAAACATAGTTGAGGAACTGTCACCACGTCCTTAAAATTCCCACGTGCTTCAGCCTTATGTGTACGACGTGGTCCATTCACTCTAGCTTTTAAGGCCATATCGGGATCATGTGTAAGCAATTCAGGCAAGTGTTTTCCACAGGCAGAATATATCTTGACCTTGACCCGAGCATTCGGTTCCAACGAAAATAGTTCAGATCAGGACATCGGGAATGCGGATGTATATAATTGTGGCTTTCTCCAGCTACTCGGTGTATGCAATTCATTACCTAATAGATGGTTCGCTATTTCTACTAAGTTGTCTAGTTACTAGGCGAATTTACTGTGATTGATTGGCCAATAGCGAATCAATCAAGTGCTGATATGTGCCATTCATTGTCAACCCCGCTATAGTAGTTCATATGGATTTTTCAACCCAAAATAATTTTTGAATTTTATATTCACTATCTAATCTTTCAAATCTTTTAAATTTTAATAATAATATTTTTTTTAATTTTTTAATCATTTCTATATAAATCAAAAACTTTATTCTTAGTTTCCTTTTAGGATTTTTATTAACAATTAATTTTAATATTAATATTCTTTTAAATAAATTATATCAAAATATTAATTAGTGAATTTTATATTCAAAAAACGTTTTGGGTTGAAAAGTCTATATGAAGTGCTATACCCCGCAGCAACATTTAGTGCCAAGTCAAGCCTCGGAACAACTTGGCGGGTTCTTCAGGGGTCATGAGGAATGATACAAGCATTAAATAGGATCTTACACCACATGTGATCTAACCAATGATTGGATAAACAATGCTTCTTGGAGCGTGCTCGAAATAGCCCATTCACTTGATATTCCTGGATATCTGTAGCCCATGTTTTTGTTGGCAGTGGTCAACAGTGGCTTAAGCCGCAACGGTGCGTCTTCGGCGTTCAAAAAAGCAGGTAGTGACTAGAAAAGAGTCTGCGTGAAGCAATTGGTTTGTTTGACTAATCGTCTGATTTGCTATAGGTTCGATCCGGAAAACATGATGTGGGCGTTCAATGTTTTGAGTCGTCCTACCCACGACTCCAAGAATTGAACTCTTTGAAGTAAATTTGCTATACGACTCGCATAAGATGAATTGTGTATTTAGGTAGTTCGTGTTTATGCAGAGGTAAACATGCCAAGCAAGTACTGCAAGGCTACGGGGATTCACCCCTCCGACGGATATTTTACCCCAGATTCTACTCAAGGGTCCTATGAATGCTTTTAAATCTCTCGGAGCATGGGTGAAGGCAGACAGATCATGCGCCTCGCCTTGAACCGTTTCAAGATTAGAGCGAATCAACTCTACTCACAAATTAGTGGCGTCTTTCAGCGAATTAGCGATTTTGCAGGAGCATGTGTCTCTCATTCACCAAATTACCCCAACATCAACTTGAGAATTTGACATAGCACGTGTAGAAAACCAGATTATTGGGTGAATATGGCAGTGAACTGATTAATGAAAACATATTACTTACTGCCCCGCCGTAGGTGGCTCGGCTCGTTGCTACTTAAAGTTTCAACAGTCTAGATTCAACGATCCAACTTACAACCAACAATAACCTTAAACATACCTTCTCAAGTTTGACATCCTTTGCATTTCCATACTTCGGAAATCATATCATCGAGGAGTCGTTCACTCAATCATAATGTGGTACACTACTAATGTCTACGTTATTTGCGCCTTCGCCGCGATAGGTAAGTGATTCTCCTCGAATCCAATGCAAAACAATGAGTAACATATATAGGCGGTGGTCTTTTCGGCTTCGATATCTCGAGTATGTCTGGTGTTCTTGGAACTCAAGCATATGTCAGATACTTCCACAATCCTCAATCCTACGGTCAAGGTGGAATTACCTGTGCTATGCCCGCTGGATCTCTCATCGGTGCTTTAGCTTCCTCTTTCATTGCGGATAGATGGTCTAGACGAGCTAGCATTCAAATTGCGTCTATTTTTTGGATTATTGGTTCAATGTAAGTTTTGACCTCCAATTATTCGAACATAACTAATGCTTTCTTTAGTATCCAGTGTGCTTCAATCAATGTAGCTATGCTGGTTGTCGGTCGAGTCATTGCTGGTATCTGTGTTGGCATTGCTTCTGCGATCTGCCCTGTCTATCAATCAGAGATTGCTCCAAAGGAAATCAGAGGCCGAGTTGTCTCTCTTCAACAATGGGCAATCACATGGGGTATTCTTATTCAGTACTTCATCCAATACGGTGCTTCGACAATCGGAGGTGGTGCAGAAAACCCAGTAAGTACGATGTCACTATTCTAAGAGCTAGCACACTAATCAATATATTTCCACAGGACCAACCTACTTCCGCTTTCCGAATCCCCTGGGGTGTACAAATCGTTCCTGCAGTTGTCTTGTTCTTTGGTATGTTCTTCTTACCACGATCTCCTAGATGGTTGGCCTCCAAGGATAGATGGGAGGAAGCCATCAAGGTTATTGCAGACCTCCATGGTGGCGGTAATGTAAACCACCCAAAGGTTCTCGCAGAATATCAAGAGATTGAGGAGGCACTCCGATTCGAACGTGAAGAAGCTATCAGCTCTTACAAGCAACTCGTGGCCCCACGTATGATCAAGCGTGTCGTTCTAGGAATGTCCATTCAGATGTGGTCTCAACTCTGCGGCATGAATATCATGATGTACTACGTCGTTTGTAAGTATTTTTTTCTCGGCTGTGGTAGAGTATATCACTAATGGCTCTTTCAGATATCATGCAAGGTGCAAACATTGCTAACCCGCTTATTACCGCCTCAATTCAATACATCCTCAATGTGTTGTTGACTTTACCTGCTATCATCTATCTTGATCGTTTCGGACGTCGCCCAGCCATGCTCATCGGTTCCTTCCTCATGATGACCTTCCTATTCATTGCCGGTGGGCTTCAAGCAGGCTACGGTGAACCCAACAACACATCGAAGACTCAAACTGAACAGAATAAAAATCTGACATGGGTTGTTCATGACAAGAAGGGTGTGTCATCTGCCATCGTCGCTATGACATATCTATTTGTTTGTGCATTTGCAACAACCTGGGGACCTTCATCGTGGACTTACCCAGCCGAAATCTTCCCCAACAAGATTCGTGCAAAGGCTGTTTCTCTCGCAACTTCGGCAAATTGGTTCTGGAACTGTGTTCTTGCTTTTGCTGTTCCACCACTGTTGAAGAATATCAACTGGAAGATGTACATGATCTTCGCCACGTTCAACGCACTTGCTTTCATCCATATTTTCCTTTCAGCTCCCGAGACCAAAGGCAAAACACTCGAGGAGATGGATGATGTTTTTAATAGGTATGTTCTCTCTGTTCTCCAATACGATCTTTTCCAGTTCTTTTCAAATGTTCCTTGAACAAAGATACTGACTCTTCGATCTCAATACAGTGGTCTCCATCCATGGCAAAAACTTCCCGAGGGCTCCAGATTAGACAGATTAGCGGCAGATATAGAAGCAGGTGCAGTCAAGGTCGCAGCCCCCGTGGGTGGTGTTGGTGGCGTCCCTGGTGAGAAGCGCACCCATCATCACGACAGTGTAGTTGCTCCAGAGAGCGCTCATCATCGTGATGGTATCGCCGATGTACGACAAGTTCAGCATCATGATCTTCATGATGAGAAGGTAGTTGTTGGTCGTGAGCGTGGCACAGTGGTCTAATCGTGTGGTTGTTCTTCGCGATACATATACTGATGGATGTTTCTCTTTTCTTCTCTTTGAACACATAATGAAGGGTCATTGATAATTAGTAATACAATCTTCTATACGAAGTTGTTCTGTTCTTGAGCAAGGTCTAACACCTTAGCCAAGATTTATGGGCTGTAGCAAGATTTTGGGGGTCAGTCTAGCGCGGAAATCGACTAATTCATTGGTTTCCAGTTGACTATCATGAACACAAGAATTGAAAACGTGATTATTAAAATTCATGGATGATCTCAAGCTTAAGGTCTCTTGGGTGGTGATTTAGCTTACTGTGTGCTCTGTAACTGCGAGCAATAAGCGACCATTGGATGAATTTTTGTGAGAAAATAAGAAATGTAAGAGCTCGATTCAGAGCTCGAGCTTATGTCCAATAAAAGATGGGGAATTGGAGCTTAGAGCACAAATTATGAAATCAAGTCGATCTCGTAATGATAGCTAGGTGCATGGTTCTCTGATATGCAAGCTGTATATGACCTTACCTAGTTTTGTTGGAAGGGATATCGTTAATCACGTGATATCAGAGCTAAAAAGTCGTCAACGTCATGGCTGTTTAGCTTCGATCCGGCATATCTCATTCAGATACCTAGAACCATGGAGAAGACCAAAAGCCATAAACCATCGATCAAGCGCATGGCGTATCCAATTCATCCCATAGACGCGACAGAGGTAAGCTACCAATGAATGTGTATCTTCTTGATGTAGGTAATTTTCGTTCAGCTATTGTTTCTTAATTTTGAACCTCAACCAACATTGGATGTTTACCTCCCTTTCTTTACACTTGTGCCCTGGCAGATATCTTAAACGGCTGTCACTTCACAGTGCTAGCATTGGCAGTGCGCGCAAAATTTCCCCCTTCCGTCAAAGCAATTCTCAATTCCGAGGCCTAAAAATGGCACCCAAACGAAAGAGATCAACAGCTGCGGCGACTCCCATGACTGATGGCGCTTCAAATCCAATTCTTCCTTCGACTCAGTCTACTTCTATTAAACCACCTACCAGACCTTCGCGGCAGTCTTCACGCAGGGGCAAACCTGACACCAACCCCGAGCACAATGCAGATATTGTAGATAGCAAGACAGCACTTCGTGCAAGCCCAGATGCTGACGAGCCTGGGGAGTCGTTCAATCTTAAGAAAATTGAGGTACCCATAACTCCCGCGAAGGATAATGGTGTAACTGTTCCCGTCAAGAATGAGGAAACCGATTCGCCCCTAACGGATATTGGTGATGATATCCCTGTGTCCACGCCTGCTAAGAAACAGAAAAAAGCCCCAACGAAAAGCTCAATTGCTGCAAAGAAAGGGTCGGATGAGATAAAAGCATTTGTAGCAGAACAGGCAGCTAAAAAGGCTGCGGAAAAGAAATAAAAAGGAGGATGACGAAGAAGAATGGGATAAAAGGCTGGATCCTGACGGAGATGAAGAAGGGCAGGCAGAGGATGCTGATGCTATAAAGTTGGAGGCGAGAAGACCGCCCCCAATCAATAGCGACTATCTGCCTCTTCCATGGAAAGGAAGATTAGGATATGTAAGTTCTCCTGTCGCAACCATATGTTCGAGATGCTGATATTAAAATCTAGGCATGTCTGAATACCTACCTCAGATCCTCAGATCCTCCTGTTTTCACATCTCGAACCTGTCGTATTGCTTCTATTGTCGAACATCGACATCCTTTGAAAGACCCTTCACAACCTGAGCATGCAACCAAAAATCGACCAGATAAATCGAAGCCAGCTTCTATTGAGCGAGGACAACGATACGTCGAAGAATTGTGCCTAGCAAATGTTCGAGACCTACCCAAAATGCTACGATGGAATGATAAATATGGTATCAAATTCATGAGACTAAGTTCGGAGATGTTTCCGTTCGCTAGTCATGCCGAACATGGCTATAGCCTTGCCCCCTTCGCTAGCGAAGCTCTTGCCGAGGTGGGGAAAGTGGTAGCTGAATTGGGACATCGAGTTAGCTCACATCCTGGACAAGTGAGTTAATTTTGATTCATCTCGAAAGCTAAAAGCTAACAAATTGTCTGCAGTTCACTCAACTAGGTTCCCCTCGTCCAGAAGTGATTGCAAATGCATTTCGAGACCTTGAGTATCACGACGAACTGTTCCGACTCCTGAAATTGCCAGCCCAGATCGACAGAGACGCAGTCTTGATTTTGCATATGGGAGGTACATTTGGCGACAAAGCGGCCACGCTCGATCGCTTCCGTGAAAATTACGCCAAACTTTCGCCTTCCATTAAACAACGGCTCGTCTTGGAGAACGATGATGTATCGTGGACTGTCCACGACCTCCTTCCAATCTGTGAAGAGCTCAACATTCCTCTATGTCTTGATTTCCACCATCATAACATAATGTTCGATTCTAGTCAAATTCGTGAAGGTACTAAGGACATCATGGAGCTCTTTCCCAGAATCAAAGCTGGATGGACGAAGAAAGGTATTACACAGAAAATGCATTACAGCGAACAGACGCCTCAAGCCGTCACAGGTCGTCAAAGACGGAAACATAATCCTAGACCTGCAACACTTCCACCCTGCGCCAATGATATGGATTTGATGATCGAAGCAAAAGACAAAGAGCAAGCTGTGTTTGAACTCATGAGGACATTCAAGTTGCCGGGATATGAAAAATTCAATGATGTTGTTCCTTACGAAAGAGATGATGATAATCGCGTCTTACCTAAGAAGCCCAAGAAGAAGAAGACCAAGAAGCAGATTGCAGATGAGATTGAAGAATTTGGACATGAGGTCGAAGAAGAAGAGGAAGTAAGCAAAGAGATAATACCAGAAGAAGAAGTTGGCATGGGAGGAAAGGATAATCGTGTATACTGGCCAGTCGGTATGGAAGAATGGTTACGACCAAAGAAGCGTGAAATCAAGAAGAAAAACTCTGAAGGGTCCAAAGAGGAAGATGAGATGTTTAAAAACCCTACACCCGCAAATTTCGAGGCAAGGAAGAAGATTACCGAGAGGAAAAAGATGCCTTTTGATGAAGGGGTTAAGGAGAAATTAGCGAAGGCAGAGTGTCTGAATGATGTTTACGAAGTGGTGGAATTGGTCAAAACTTCGCAATCTAAAGTCGATGAGAGATCAGAAGCTAATGGGTTTGCGGCGGGGCCTGGTTCATCTAAAAAGAGCACGCCTGTTAAGAAGAAGCCAGCACCGGCGCCGGCGAAGAAGAGGAATGCGAAGAAAGTGCAGACACCTAGTGCTAGCGTCTCGAATGAAGATGCGGATGAGGACGAGGATGATGATTTGAGTATGCCTGATTTATCAGCTGATGATGAATTGGCAAAACCGACCACGAAAGCTAAACCGGCTAGGCAAAGTGGAAGAGCCGCAGCAAAGAAAAAGAGTTATGTCGAAGTTGATGCTGATGAGGAGTAGTGTGTATGTGTGTATTTGGATGTGTATGTTTACCATTTTATGTCTATCTTGTATATTATCATTAAACTTGTACCAAATCATTCAAATATGCAATTCTGGAATTTATGGTTTCAGTCAATTTAATTCCTCTTTTCCAATGTGATTGTAGATTCTCCGATGTCAATCTCTTACTGCTTTTTGAATATGTAAAGAGACGGTTGAAACTTATATAGTACATTGTCCTATAGCAATTACGTTGCGACCATCATAAAGTGACTAAAGTATATTGTTTTGCTCGCATTATTATCTGTAATCGGTCCCTGCTGGCGTCTTTGGACGATACTAGAGGCGACCTTACAATCTCATCTATGCCATCCAACGCTCTGAGCTGATATCCTCCACCGGCAATAACAAACATTCATGAGGTGGTTAACAATGATTGTCGATTCTGGAAAGTCGTTTACAGGGAATTATGCACCACGGGACGGAGAGTTAAACTGCGTTAGTGTCGATTCTTCTGAGAATCTTGACATAGATCTTGAACACAATCGCTGCGTGTGTGTAACAGAACTTCTCTGATAAGTTCGGGAGGGGTTCAATCTATATTACTGGGTTCAACATAGTCGAGTATTCTTTTGAGAATCTCGGATGTCGTTGATCTTAATACTGAGTGTGGATTGTAGAGGAAGGTGAGTGGCAGAACTTGAAATTATGACTAGCTTCACGAGGACTTCTGATCGAAAGACACTGAAGGATAGATCACATGTGTAATGAACTCTTTTGTGGACGGTGTCCATTAACTTGTTGTGTACATCTTGGGATTGAGTTCTTGTAGTTGGTTGGGAGATAGGTTTTGGTAATGAGAGTGTGAATCATATTATACTTTTCGTTGAACAAAGGTACAGAAGTTCTTTAATCTAGATGGACATCTGTCGGTATCATTAACAGTTCCATGCCCCGAAATGTAATGCATAAGTGAATCCGCTACCCCGCTCCATTCAAAGATGGGTTGATCTCCACTACCACCTGGGCAGTTCTATATACTTTAATTTGGCTAGTGAGATTCACTTACTAAAGTCCTCCAAGTGACATTGTTCATCACAACAAATGATCTTGGTAGGTCGGAGCGTCCATTCCACGATCTCTTTATATGAACCTTGCTGCATCCTAACGACTCGAAGTCATCAAACATTCGCGGGTGCTCTAGAGCTCTTGACATGGTTTGGAAAAGCAAGGTGCGTGGTCAACGGGTTATCCTAGCAGTTGGGTAGGTAATCATTGTGGGTATACACGTCCACTACGGAGGGTTTGTTCCATCAACATCATCACCCGAGGTTTTGAGAACCTTCATTGTTATTCGAAGTAATCACTGTTGTTCCAATTGTCGTCAACTATACATATTCCGTCTCATGGACAATAACAATGATACGATCGCTCGCAGAGATACTCGTCGCGTTCGGCAACACCATCGATAGACAAAACGGATTGATGCTGCAGAGCTTCCTTTCCACCATTTCAATGGCTTGGAAGAGATAGCAACATGAAGAGCAGGATGAGTGGGACTTGTGCCAATCTCATCACCAACCTTTTTTTCCAAAATTTCTGGCCCCCTCACCCCCCCAGGATGGTATTCCACCAAAAAGTTTGGTGATCCGTCACCTATCCAATCTAGGTAGGCGACGATACTACCAAATATATGAAGAGATGCTCTTATGGTAAGATCGTCATCGTCTACCACACTTGCCAAAAAAATTCACCCGCAAGAAGTGCAAAAAGGTATTGAACAGAGGGGGATTCGAACCCCCGCGGGCTAAGCCCATGAGAATTCTAGCTGATTTTACATCAACTAAGCTGTTGAGCTTGAGTCACACGCCATAACCACTCGGCCATCTGTCCTTGATGCTTGATATGATAAAGAGAGTGTAATTCAGTAGATACAACAGAAGATTGAACTGTAGTGAAGAGCGAATAGCAAAGCATCGTTGAGAAAAACTTTTGAGAAAAAAAAAGGTGCCGGGAACATCCACAAATGGGTGGATGGTCCCTGGCGGGGCTTTCCGCGCTAGAGGAAAGTCGATGGATACTCTGAGGGATCCAAGGGAAGGAAGAGCATTACAGGAGATGTTCGAACTTTATAGTGGAGCTCGGGAGCAAAAAGATTCAAAAAGAAAGTTCTATTGAAGGGAATTGAGCCCAACGGGGGGGTCGAACCCCCAACCTTGTGATTAAGAGTCACACGCTCTACCGATTGAGCTAGCCGGGCAGGCTATGATGATAGGTGTTTGTTAGAAAATTGTCTGCAATATGGCACCTTTTGCTAAACCTGATGGGTGAGAAAAATCTTTGCAAAGTTTTTGAGGATAAGCGAGGGGGGTGTTGGTGGTGAGAGCACAGACCATAAAGTTCAAGACTTTAGTCGTATGCACCATCACTGTACTTACTCAGTTCTCAATTTTGAATTTGAAATAGTATTCAGATGAGCGTAGTATCACTTCAATGATTTTGAGTTTTATAATGGAATTTTTCGTAGAGAGTCATGAGACAAAATAATATCAAGTTTTGAGTTTGAAAGAGCGATGGCATATGAATGCTAAATGCGACAATCACTCCCACCAAGAAAGAATGTCGTCGTCCATAGGAGCTTAGATATGTACCCCTCACAACGCTAGAGACACCAGTGTGCGCAATGACAAAATAGCGATTGCAAAAATCACTCATCGTGTGGTGAAATGGTTGCGCCACCGACAAAAATGCAAAAGAAAACATACAACAGTAGGGATTCGCTGGTGGTCACCCACCCAACTACTAATCTACCGATCTGAGGCTTATGTATGGCAGAGCGGACGGGATGCCCAGTTCTCCTCAGTCTATGGTCGTATGTGCTAGGAGAAGCCCAAAGCAAACCTATATACCCTCTTATTGTTGAGCCCACGCATTCCAAAACAATGTTTCGTTTGCTGTTGTTGCTTTCGTATATATGGTGGTATTATGGCCTTATAGGATTCTTTCCTTTCTTCGTATGGTGCCTGCAATGCTACATGGCATAATTCCTTAGTTACATTCGATAATTGTGGCTCTCGTATCTGCTGGAATTAATCAAGGAATCTAATGTTCAAGCTTAGCCAGGTTGTTTGTAGGAATGGTAGATTTGATAATATAAATCGTGTTCAGTTACCTCAGTACCCTGCCTGTCTTTATGAATCGGCCGTTGAGAATGAACGGTAGCTTGGAGATTCCGTTCTCAAACATACATGAGTCTAACATTTAAACATGTTGTTTTGGCGCCGTTCTTCCTCGGAGATTCTGGAGTGGACGGGGAAATCAAATGGTTTTACTAAATTGAACATCTTGCCATTTTCAGATGAACTGTTGTAGACTGCTTACACGACTTCTTGATGCTGCTCAAGTGAATTGCACTCGTTGTTGGATAATCTGAAGCCTTATGCAAAACATTCTCAGTTGTGTCGTACTCTTACGAATATGCTTTATGAGTTCATTAATCTACTCCACTATTTCTACTTTGGTAAGGAAATTGGTTCGTCTAGACATTGATATATCCTAGTTTTTGGGATCTCGTGAATGCCCGCGGGACCCTTTCTCAATATGATGATATGATGATCGTTGCTACACGAGGAAGATCAGACAAGTCTAGTATCACCATTGGATTTTTGTGGAAGTGCCGAGTCAGACTATCATCAGATTTCTCCGGGAACTACAGACAGAAACATCTGAAGTAACTCCCGATGTTAGAGATTTGATGTGATGAAAAAAAAAAGAAAAGACGCTTAAAGATTGAATTGAATATTTTCTCATCATATCGTTCCTTCTTCTTCATCGTTCTCGAAGAATATTCTATAGAGAAAAATTCCCAAGTTTCTATTTTCAAACCATCTGGCGATGGATCGATGGTTATGGCTGTGTACTTGTAATAATCATTAAATCTTGCTCCGTTTTCCATCTTGGTCTGTTTTCTGAATCATAACCAACCAAGCTTCGTAAGTCCTATTCTTGTTACAGACTAAGGAATACAAGCGAGAAAAGACAACTTAATGGAGAACTCCATAGTCTCCATCTTCAACACTTGACCAATCATTTCAATAAATTCACGAAACGGTACCTGAATGTGGATATCTTTCTAGAAAGCCTCCTGTCCAATAAATACAAAGAATCGTCGGACTTTCCCAAAGTAAGTAGCAACAGTGGCTCAGTCAATCTTTACCCCTGAGCTAGGGCTTGTCAGTTTCGGCGTGGTCCCCAAGCTTTTTAACTCCTGCTTGGTCCATCTTACCCACGGCCCCACTAGAACTTCTCAATCCTTGGCGAACCCCTGGTGATTCCAGACTCTGAGTCCCGAGCAAGTAATCTTTTTTTCTTTTTCGACATCAAGTTCCAATGGCTCATCCCCTGTTCAAAAAGATATCCCGATAACCGTGTCGATTCTGATTCTAATGTCTTCATACCACGCACACTCGTTCATCTCTTTGCTTTGTCGTTTTGTAATGTGACAAGCTTTTTCCGGTTTTCTACCAGCGATTTTCAGATTTCTCTCCTTCATACAATCGTTTGTCCCACTCATATCTGTAATTCACGCATTTTATACACTCAAAAAGCATTATCATATGCACCAGCCTTCATTATATCTCTTCCTATACACCTGCTCTCTTTTACCCAATCTTCAACATTTGCACTGTTATACAAAGGCTAGCTTCTGCAGCTTTGACCATACTTCTATTCATTCCAGGTAGACCCTAGGCCATATTATCATTATACAGCTTTTTCACATACTCTTCTAAGTCGAGGCCCCAAACTTTCGACACCTAATCATAGAAACCGCTCATCATACAATTGGAGCATCATCCCATTACAAATTTACAATTGAACATACATCGACGTTGAATAGAGAGAGAACTTGAGTTTTTTGAGTTTTGGGATTCCCGACGGTATACAGAGGCGGTCTTCCGCGTGTCAATACACACCGTCGCCATGATGTTACGGCCAATTTCAACCCTCTCAACTCTTTC